CGGCCGACCCCGGCGGCCGCAGCCCGCGCCCCGCGTCCCCGGGAAGTTGTCTCCGGAGCCCGCGGCGCCTGGGTCTCCTCCCCCTGAGCCCCGCCCCCCCCGCCCCGCGCCCGAGCTGCGAGCCGCCCGGCCCGGGGGCGTCGCCGCTTTTGCTCCGCGAAGCCAGCGAGTCTCCGCTGCCCTGCGCCGCGCGCGCGTCCCCCGCCTGCCCGGGGACCCCCCGCGCACCCCCCGAGACGGCGCGCGCCCAGAGCGCGGGAGCCCGGAGCGCCGGGCGCCTGGGACCCCGCGGAGCCGCTGCCCAGCCCGCGGGGCTCGGCCGGGATGCAGGCTGCGCTGTGAACCCCGGCGCCAAGGCCATGTCCGGCGCCCGCTGCCGGACCCTGTACCCCTTCTCCGGGGAGCGGCACGGCCAGGGGCTGCGCTTCGCCGCGGGCGAGCTCATCAGGCTGCTGCAGGTTCCGGACGGCGGCTGGTGGGAAGGCGAGAAGGAGGACGGGCTCCGCGGCTGGTTCCCCGCGAGCTACGTGCAGTTGCTGGAGGTAAAAGGGGCGAGGGCCGGGGGGCCGGGAGACCCGGGGCTGCGGGGCTCGGCGCGCTCGCGTACCTGTTGCCCGCACCGGGGACGCCCCAGCCGCTCCCCGTCCGAGGGGGCGCAGCGGGGCGGGCTGGGGGTGCAGCCGCTGCGCGCCCCGACTCTGGGGGCGGCGGAGCCAGCGGGGCGCCCCTCCGGGCCGGGCGGCGCGGGGATCGCCCTCGGAGCGGCCCCCGTGCCGGGCCTCCCGAGCACATCGTGGCCGCCCTGAGGAAGGAGAACTTGTTGCCTGTGTGAGTTCTGGAGCGGGCGGGCGCGCTCCCGGCGGTGGCAGGGGGCCGGCCGAGGGCTGCGGAGTCCGGAGGTCTAGGCATAGAGGCTGGGAGGTTGGGGATCCGGAACAGCGGCGTCATCGGTTGGGCCCCGGAGCCCGGAGCCCGCCGACCCGAGGACGGTCGTGCTGCCCCGGGTCAGGCCGCCTGGGGGCCGCCCACTTGCCGGTCAGCTGAGCCGCCCGCCCGATCCTGGGGTTCCTCCCCTGGTCCAGCGCCCCCCAGGCCAAGGTCCAGAACCTAAAAGTGGTCTGTTCCGGGGGTTCTGGCCTGACCCCAGGGCTGCAGAGGACCTGCTGAGCCAAGTCGGCTGGCTGTTTATTGTCTGGGTGACAGTTGGGAGGTCTCCTTGTCCTCTAATCGCTGAGCTCTCGGTCACAGCTAGAGTGGCCTCAGAAGTTTCTGAAGTCCTTTGGGGGGGGGGGGGGGGGGGGTGGGCTGGGGAGGAGTGACTTCATAGGCTATCCCCTTTCCCAAAGGGCTGCCAGATTGTTGCCTGGCCTTAAACAGGCGGTTACCCACAACCGTGTTAAGTACATAGTATAAACGTTCTGCTGAAACACCTCCCCAAATCACTGGAGACTGCATTTATTTATAATTTGACCCCTGACCTACTCTGCAAAGAACAGAGTAGGAAGTTTTGAGAGAAATTGCTCCGTGGGACCCAAAGAAAGAAAAAGAAAGAGAAGGAAAGATGGATGGATGGATGCATGGATGTGGTGAAATGGTCATGGGTGAGTTTGCTGAGAAATATCCTGTGGAAATGTGATCAGAACCACGGCTGGATTCACAGAGCCTTCTTCCAGGGTCCAGAGGGCAATGCAAAAACCCCCCCTCCTCCCGATGAATTAGGAGCATTTGAGCAAAATTTAGGCTGGAAGAGATCTCAGGGTCTGAGCAGAAGAGGACGTTCCAGGACGCTTTTGGTTCTGTATTTTGAGACACCTGTGTACTCAGGGAAGGCTCAGGTGTGTTCCTCAGATCTGTGCCGAGGTTCAGAAGTAAAAGAAAGCAGGTGTTGCGGCCTCCCTGTTGGTGGCTCAAAAGCAGCCCTGGGAGAGCCTCCTCTTTTCGAGTTCCCCTGGTGACCACACTTCTCCAGGAAGCACTAATGTGGAAATTTGGCAGTTGTGGGTCTGTCCGGTCAGGAGCGTCCCTGGCTGGGTGCCCAAAAGGAGTGTTTTGGGGTGCGGGTGGGGCTGGTGGAGTCTTAGGCTGCTGTTAGCAAGAGTGGGGGCTCTGCGTGTCCCTCTGGGGAAAGGGAGGCTTGAGCCAGACCCAGGGGGCAAACAGAACGATCAGCCGGGTCGGGCGCGTCCTGCGGGTAGATGTGCTGAGCAAATCTCCGGTGCGTGAGTGAGGGGCTTTTGGACAGCTGCCAACTGGTGACGCGCCAGGGGGGTGGGTGCCCGTGTGTGGGAGCGGTACCGCCGAGAGGGGGGCCCGTTTGTGGAGCACCCACTAGGCACCTGCTCTCCTGACCGCTCTGTGAAGGGGGAGGCGCTCTCCCCACATCCCAGGTGAGCAGAAGCGAAAGCAATTGCCCGAGGGAGTAATGCTTGTGTATTTGCTTAGCGGCTCAGAGGGCTGAATATTACCTCCGTGCCGGTTTTCAACGTGTCAGTGTGGGCTCAACTGCTAACAGGCGAGGGAGGGAATGGTCTGGATGCTATGGGAAAGGACATAGGATCCTTCCTGTAGGAAGGATCGGAGGTCGGGCCCTTTGTGTCTGGGCACCTCGTCGGTGAGCAGGCTGGACCTCAGGGCGGAGGGCTGGGTCGGGCTGCAGGGTATGTGGGGAGAGAGTCCCTTGGGGCTGGGTGAGCCCTCAAAGGCAGACCCGGTTCGTGGAGAACGCACAGCTCCCAGGGGACTGGCCGGTACACGAAACCACACGTCTGGGGAAGCAGCGGGTTCGTCAAGCCTGGACGTTAGTGCAGGAGCCAGGAGGCTGGAGACGGGGCCTGGAGGTGGGAATCCTCATGGGACGTGCGCCTGCTGGGAGGCATGGAGATCGGGAGGCCAGGGGAGCCGCTGGGGAGACAGGTACAGACAGAACGGACGGCACCAGCCTCCTGGTGGAGGAGTGGGGAGGTGGCGGCACCACCGGGAGTGGTGGACAAAGTGATACCAAGAAGCCCCGTCTTGGCGGAAGGGTGCAGCAGGTTGAGAACAGCATATGCAAGATGGACGCTCCTCAAGGACTCCTTGCTCGCTCAGATAAAGAAAGTGGAACTGAGAGGCCCTTGGCTTTGCAAGCCGCACACCCCACGGAGGGGAGCTGGGAGCTAGCTGTGACACAGCTGAAAGATCTGTCCTGGAGGCCGGCCAGCCCCCGGGGGAGAGGCCAGCTTGGGGAGATTCTTGTCCTGGTTCCTGGGGGGAGAATCTCTTTGGTCAGGCCATCAAGGAAATGGGAGAAGGGTACAGCACGTCCTTGGTTTCCAGAAAGCGGCCCCCAGGAAGGTGTCCGCCCAAGTGGAGAAGTGTGGGGGGCCAAGGGCTGGGCACAAGGTGGAGCCTTCCAGAGGAGGAGAGCACTGGAAGAGGGAACCCGTCTTTCCCAAGAAAGATGTAAGGTGAGATGTGAGGGCCCCGAGATAAAAACCGCGAGAATAATCTTTCTTGAGGGTCTCTTCAGCCTTGCATGAAGAAGGGGAGGAGCTGAGAAGTTTCCTGATATGTGGGAGACGGGGTCGAGGAGCTGAGACAGGGCCTGGAGACTTCAGGGGAACGTTCTGTCCGCTCCAAGCCAGGCCAGGGTCCCCTGCATAGACTGGAGGCCCTGTGGGGGCAGAGGTTTCTGCCAGACTTGTGGGGTGCCTGGTGCCTGAAAAACAGCTCCTGGGGGAGACAGGCAGAGCCCAGATCCCCGTCCCTGGGGAAGCGCCCGAGAGTTGGACGTGGGCAGGTCCGGTGGCTGGAGGGCCAGGAATTCCCCGCCGTCTGCTCTTAACCTTGAGTGGAGAGAACAAATTGGGGACCCGGAAGATACTGTCAGCCATCTGTGGAAACCCCCAGAGCTTTTGGGAAATAATTCTGGAGGGGGGAATGAGACTGGAACACAAACACCCCAGAGTTTTCCGTGACTGAAGTGCTGTTCTGAGAATCTGCCGTCTGGCCACGAGGTGCGGGCCTCAGGGGCCAGGGCGACGTGACGTTGTTGGCCAGCACAACGAGACGTCCCCTCCTTGAACCCGGTCACCTCTCCGCCTTCTGTTCTCTCGCTTTGGGTTCATGTGCTCCTGCCGGAGCTTCCAAGGTGTGGATGTGAGAGACGTGGAGCTGGGGAGGGGGGCTGTGCCGTGGATAATCGATGGCCGTGTAACAGGCCACCCCGGAACTCAGTACCGCGACACAAGCATTTACCGTCACGTCGCACATCGCTGGGGACCGACCGGGCTCCGCCGGGTGGTTCTTCTGCCGGTGTCTCTTGGCATCTGTCACGCCTCACGGTGGCCGGGGCTGCGGTCCCGGGGCAGGCAGAGCTGGGCAGGGACTCCAAAGTGGCATCTTCACTCTCTCGCTTGGTGTGTTGTTTTTCCAAGTGACTTTCTTCTCTCCGCTTCGTGTCTCATCTTCCAGGGCCTTTCCGCACGGCCTTTCCCTCTAGCAGGGAGCTGGAGTCTTTCTAGGGTGGCCGGCTTCCAAGAACGCACGTTACAAATTGCCCGGCCCTCCTAAGGCTTGGGCTCAGGACTGGCAGCTCACTTCTGGCACATTCGATTGGTAAACCGAGTCACTGGAGCAGGAGATCCTGTGTGGGAAGGAGGTGCATGAGGTTGTGGGTACGGGTATGGACACAGGTCCATTGAAGGCCGTTTTGCACACTGGCAACCTCAGAGAGAGCGCCTCCCCAGAGCGAGGCAGGGTGCAGGAGTCTTAGCTGACTTGCTAGAAAATTCTCCACGGCCATCCTCAGACGAGATTTTCTCTTCTTTAAAAAAAAAATTTTTTTTTTTAAGCTGCCAGGGATTTCTTTATAAAGGCCACCTGATAAATGTTGCAGCTGAATTTGGAACCAGATTTTCCTGTCCCTAAAGCCTGAGTCTGTCCACTGGGGCATTGGCCGTCCAGCTTTCTTGGGTTGGGTCGGCTTTGTGCTGGTTATTCATAGACACCGTGTATCCTAGCTGCCCAGTATGTAGTGGATGCTTGCTTTGTTACACAAATTGATTTTATGTTAGTTATTTAAAAAATTTTTTTTTCTACATTTTTATTTATTTTTGGGACAGAGAGAGACAGAGCATGAACGGGGGAGGGGCAGAGAGAGAGGGAGACACAGAATCGGAAACAGGCTCCAGGCTCTGAGCCATCAGCCCAGAGCCCGACGCGGGGCTCGAACTCACGAACCGTGAGATCATGACCTGAGCCGAAACCAAGAGTCGGACACGCCCAACCGACTGAGCCACCCAGGCCGCCCCTACACAGATTGATTTCAATACACGGCTTTTTTTTCTCTAACAGGAGCGGGAGTGTTACCTAAAGTGGGTGTGACCTTGTCAATTTTCTTTTTCTTTTTTTCTTAAGGCAGTTCATTATCCGGTCTGTTCCCAAAGCTGTAATTAGGGCTGGTGGCTCGCAGAGTATGGCACGGTGACCAAAAAAGACCAGTGTGCTTTGTGCGGTCGTCGCGGAGTCCTTCTGCCCTTTGATTTGGGGGCTCGCGGTCCAT